AATTCCTGTGAGTTTTTGTCACCGCACGAGTAGCGTCTCAAAACAAACACGGCCCAAGCAATGATGTAACAAAGATGCAGGTGGTGATGGGCGACTGCTCAAGGGTTGAACGTCACGCGCGACAGTCGGCACCTCCTGGTGGGCTTTGGCAAAGGGAGCTCCTCGCCAGGTTTTGTGCAACACGCGCGCTCTTCTCTCCGCTCGTTGAATTGTTGCGCGATTTTGACGCAGGTCACTTTGTTAGGAACGTTGGCCGTGCCGCGTGCGTCATTTCGACACGACGGCCGTTTGACCCCGCCCAAACGAGTGGCCTTTGTCGCTCGTAAAGTCAGCTCACGCGCCTTATTCTTCCAGCACCAAGACGCCCGGACCGGGAGCACAGTCGGCGCTCAGAGCCCTCGCCCGATCTGGCATGAAGATCGGACGCATCGGTCGGTAACGTCTTTCTCGGGCACGTGCGCGCGCCGACCCCCTTTCCTGATGCGTGTGCCGTTTTGTGCTTTCAGAGGACGTGACCCCCATCCCATCAGATTCGACGCGCAGAAAGGGAGGACGCCGCGGACGCAGACTGTAAAGGCAGCCCGACCTTCACGTATTCCGTACAATAAACGTCTTTGACCACAACAAGCGTGTCGTGTCGCAAACGTGTTGACGCCAAACTGGTTGGCTGGTGGAAGCTTTTAATTCCTTTCAGCTCAACATAAACAGAAAGGAAAGCAGGGGTTCGGGGATCCGGCCGATACCGTACGGTTTTTTTTTTTCTTTTTGATGGCTTCAATTTTGGTCACTCTTCAACCTGAAGCTGCTGCTCTTGGAGCTCGGCGGGCTCCTCGTCTTTATCCTGATTGTCCATCGTGTTGGCAGGGCCTTCGGGATCGTCCGGGTCTGGGTTGGGCGCGGGAGGACAGAAGTCCTGGTCGGGGACGATCTTGCGGAAGATGGCCTCGGCCTGAACGCAAATGCCTTTCAGTTTCGTACATCATCATTCAAAAGTAAACGAGCGTTTCTTTGGAGCAAACAGACTCCCAATTGACTCCAAATTTACGAGAATGTGAAAGAAGTGCAGCAAGACTTTGAAAAAAAACTCCACGCCCCTGCTTGATGGCACGCTCGTGACCCAGCTCGGCGTCCGGTCCGGAGCAGACGTAAACATTGGACGGCAAGCGGTCGCCATCCGGCTCCACGCCGGCACCCCGCGTCATCCATGTTGAAGTACAAACATCACAGGACGTCGGGGCGCGAGTCTTGGTCACATGACTGTGCCGTGTTGAACATTCGAGTCACGACGGGCCACAAGTCCTCGTAGGCGGACCCCAGTTGTGATTGACAGGTGAGGTGGACCAAATCTGAGGTGGCAAAGCAAAGGTTTTGTTTTTGGTTTTTTTTTTTAGTTTTGGCTTGGTCAGAGCTTTGGCAGTCGCCGAAAAACGACCATGTTTTAGTCGACGATATACGACGATAAACGACCATAAGGAATTTTTAGCCGAAAAAACCGACCATGTATAGAAAAGCGATTTTAGCCGAAAAAAACGACCATGTAAGGCGTTTTCAACCGAAAAAAACGACCATGTATAGAAAGGCGTTTTTTGCCGAAAAAAAAAGACCATGTATAATAAAGCGTTTTTTGCCGAAAAAAAACCCGATCATGCATAGTAAGGCGTTTTTAGCCGAAAAAAACGACCATGTACTGTAAGGCTTTTTTGGCCCGAAAAAAACGACCATGTATAGTAAGCCGTTTTCAACCGAAAAAAACGACCATGAATAGTAAGGCGTTTTTAGCCGAAAAAAAGGACCATGTATAGTAAGAGTTTTTTGGCCCGAAAAAAACGACGACGTTTAGTAAGGCTTTTTTGGCCCGAAAAAAACGACCATGTATAGTAAG